CCCCCCCCCCCCCCCCCCCCCCCCCCCCCCCCCCCCCCCCCCCCCCCCCCCCCCCCCCCCCCCCCCCCCCCCCCCCCCCCCCGGGGGGGGGGCCCCCCCTTAACGTAACAAAACTAATACAAGAACGTCAGTTTCTAAATTTGCTTTAAAAAGAAATTTATATTTGGATTTTATGAAGTGATACACGAAAATAGTAGATCAAAACAAAGTTTCAAAGTTTTTTCTTAATCTCTCTTGTAACAGTGCTGAGCGATGTGAAGAGACATTTGTCTCATTCAGAGAATGCATCATGTATTTCGACCATTCTGATGAACTCTTATTAAGCGATGGTTGAATAAACTCAAAATTGTTGCGAACTGTATAAATAAAGGCAAAATTCAAAATGTTTGAGGCTTTGAAATACTGTCTTACTAGTAAAAGATTTTATCAGCAAGTTTATTATTGTTTGGCTGATTGATTTTTGGTTGTCGCACACTGACATGAACGATATTTGCAGATTGCCGTTGTGCTCGTTTTTTGTTAGTTTCAAGTGATCGATGACGAAACTGATGAGAAACTTTCTCAGCACATGGTGCAGTTGCTGAAACAGATGAAAGTTTGTGGATAACAATTTTTTGACCAAATCGTTGAAGTTGTCCGCCGGGGTCGAACATGGTTGCTTATTCAACTGAATTTTGGTAGATTGTGAGACAAAATTTCATTTTCGTTGTTTTTATACTCAATAAAAATGTCCCATGGCTTCACTGCTATTCCGCAGAAACAATACTAAAGTATTAATTAAGAATATTTAATATTCGAGCCACTCTAGAACAACACTTGTTATGCAGAGGTTTCTTTACAGTGCATTAAAAAATAATTGAAATGCATTTAGATTTTGTTCTTAAGACGAAAAAATACATCAGAGAATTGAGTAAAAACGTATAAAACTACAAGAAACGTTCATCGAGTGCCGATTCACTCGTCCCTAGACTGAAAGATGATTAAATATAATGTGATTGGACATTGGGATCAGACTATCAACCATACGTCTATGATAAGGTCAGAAAACCTGTTTTGTAAATTTAAAATCCAGAAGAAAAATTCTCAAAAATCCGAATTACAAATATTCAAAAGTTACAAAATATAGAAGCTTCAAGAGACCGGAAAATTCATGAAAATTCCAAAAATCCGAAAAAATTACTAATAAGGTCTATGATGAGTTTTGCAAGTTCACTATCTCGAAATTTCTCGCATCTCGAATTGCTTTGCATCATGTGTGTTGGGCTAAAAAAAGTTTCAGTGTAATCCCTCTGGGATTGAAATGTGAAACACGAAGGAGGTACTTTAATCATTATTGAAAGACCTCGCTATGTCTATCGCAGTTGATTGGCGGACTAATACTAGTACGTCGAAAATGCCTTCTACCATCGCAGACCGTAACAGACATGTCTGTGAGGGTCTGGGGGGGGGGGGGGGCGGGGCGGGGATAGCAGTTTTGGGGATATAAAATAAAACACACATTTTAAATGTTTTTGAAAAAAAACGATTTTTAAAT